GCTCTTCAACGACCATAGACAACAAAGACCTCTGCAATTTAAGACATTCCCTGAGCTCACAGTCTGCTGCTCTCTACGGAGTGTCTGTTTGCTGTCTCACTCATGTCTGCAATTTTCTCCAATGTGAAGGCCGCATTCTCATGACCCACGTCCTGAGGTTTCGCCTCCTTTTGTTGTGGTTGTGGGCCTCCCATCAGGAACATGGTAAGGAGGAACATCACAGAGCCTGCAATGGTTGGCAAGTGTGCATCATTCATAAGTGTACATCCTGCTTCTGCATATTGAAACTCTCAGCATGCAGAAATCACTGCATGATTTTATATGAAACACTTTTCTTGAAAATAACAGTAACATTTGTATTTACATCTCAAACATCAGAATGGCCCACATCCAATCGTTCTAAGGAAGCCAGACTACGGAACCGAATGCCGGCCTCCACTTTCTGCTAATGTGGACACTTTCTGACCCACAACTGCACCTTCATAAACGGCTCAGCAATGGACGGAAATATTAAAAGAATAATTTAAAAAGTATTTCTATATTTCATAAAGAAAGATAGATAGTCCTAAGGTATCATTATGTCTGTGTGTCTAACTTTTTAAACAAAATGGTGGATTTTAACTTATACCATCCTTGCAATGCATCTCATACACAGTTCAGCTTTATGTGCACTGAACTAGCATACCACTAAACTGCTAACTGTCAATTCTTAGTCTAGCTGGCAGCCCCAGAGTAGGGAGTTTATATTGCCTGTTTTCAGCATACTGTACTTGAAAATAATTTAAGTACAACTCTATTTTGCCAGGCAGCACTACTTACTGATGAGGTATGTGCCTCCATAGAAGATATACAGCGATTCCCGATAGCCCAGAGCCTTGGAAACAGGATCAACCAGGATGGGCAAATTGCCTCCAATATTATTCATCACAAACAGGAAGACCCCAACAGTTGTCGACCTCACTGACAAAGGCACGATCTCCACCAGGATCGCAAACACGATGCCAAACCACATCTCAGCTGAATTAAAAAGACAGAAAATCGCTTGCAGCAGCAGAAGCCGACATGTGAAATAGACAGTACAGACACTTCCTAGTTCTTTCACTCTAAAAATTACCACTGTTCAGGCTGGAAATCTTCATGAAACAATTCTGCCATTATCATAATTAAACGCCCACTTCAAAGGTATTCTTCAGTTTATGTTTTCAGTCTGTAAATAAGAGGCTTTCACTTGCAGCAACATCTCATATTTATACATCATGACCACACAATCTGCACCTCAATGACCTTTTCTGGATGTCAGACAGGACAGCATGAGTAGCAGGGCTTTATATATTATACCAAACAACAAGTTTCAGTGTAATATCATCTTCAATGTTAATTACAAAATGGCATTTCACTTTTAAATACTCAAAGTTACCACCAAAAAATATTGAATGAAATTCCCCATTTTAAAGTTCAGAATATGAAAAGAATATCTATGATTCATACATACAAGATGCTGCATGCATCCAGTTTTATGTGAAATATTTTAAAATGGCTGTCCCAATGCCTGCTGTAGCAGAACACAGTGATTTAAAGAATTATTTATATTAATCTGTCCATTAGCGTCATGCAGTGCAACTAAGGGTTCACATTTCTATGACTTTAACGCTAAATTAAGGAAAACCTTAAACAGAGGAAAAACAACTATGCTGAGACCATGTAAGTAGGAGATTAAACTCAATATAACACTAAAATAAGAAACACTGTCCCATTGACTTAATAAAGTTACAGAGCCGACTGACATTCACTCTCATAAAATAGAAAAACACCAACTCTTGGTCCTTTCACCAAACATGCAGATTGCTCTAGTAATCAGTTCTATTTCAAGAAAAAATAACATTAACAGTACAAAGTCAATTAGTTTCATTCTCATTTTACATTATAGGGTAATTCTATAAATGAAACAACATGTCACTTTCCAAGTGCTGACACTCACTTGATATTGCCTGATGTACAGCGACGGGTTATTTTATTAACTAACAGTGAAAGGGTTGACACTTATCTCAGATAGGTGCGATGATACACGCAGCAGGAAACAAATGGAAGCTGTTGAGTATCAGCATGCATCTAACATTTTTCAAGAGGTCTCATGTAATGATGCTTCACAAAAGCACAGAAATTGGAACAGCCGGTCAATAACGTGACGGACGCTCATTACGAGTCGATTCAAAACAAAAAACATACACTTACCAAAGAAATATGAGATGGCAAGAGTGATGAGCGCCCAGAGTGGGTCAAAGTACACGCTGCCATAGGCAAATGGCGTCGCGATCAGCTGCAAGTAACAAACTGCATTAGGGTTCAGGAAAGTGGTATGACGAGCAGCAGCACAGAATGAAGCGAACTGTCGTAGGACAGGGCAATATTCGTATGTTTGCATAATGCGGCTGTAAATTCTCATTCGCTAAATACTGAAAGAAACATTATATAATACATTCAGTATTTTCTTTCAATTACTCTTACTTACTTATTCTGATTCTTTCTGTGGATGAATATTCCTCCATCCTTCACAAATATCATCACAATTTCAATGTTGAAGGAATAAATGTATGTATATATTAAGTGTTAATCAGTACTGAACTTAACAAAACAATCACTGCATGTGTAATATTAAATCAACACACACTGACAATTTCCCATGGGTCCAATATTCTGTTTGCCAAAGCTGAACCATAATTTCAGACCCAACCATGTTTTACGTCCAAAAGTACTGATCTGATTTTGATTAAATTTGGTATTGTCAGCCAACACTGTAATGTTACTAATAAAACTTCAGTTTGGTTCATATTAGTCTATTATAACCCTGCTTTTCATGAAGCTCATATCAAATATTATTGAGTTCTCAAAAATGGTCACTGTGAGGATATAATAAAAACAAAATTAATATTTACAGCTTTCTGTTTAAACTTTTCTTGACACAGTGAATATTTAATCAACTACAAAGAAAAATAACATTTTACTATGGGTAATGTGAACAGCTTTCCAATAGTACAT